TTTTTTTGGTTTTTCGAGACAGGGTTTCTCTGTGGTTTTGGAGCCTGTCCTGGAACTAGCTCTGTAGACCAGGCTGGTCTCGAACTCACAGAGATCCGCCTGCTTCTGCCTCACGAGTGCTGGGATTAAAGGCGTGCGCCACCACCGCCTTTATAGAATTTTTATAATTTCTATTGGAAAATTACAAGCAAACTTTTTTATTATCTATCTTTGAAAGGCGATAATTCTCTCTGTGATAATCTACAGAACGGAATGTAAATCAAGTAACTAATTATACTTTCTGCATATGAGAAATAGTCCTGTTTGGCAGGAAACCAATCAGATGAATTTGAATATGCTATGAGGATAGTGTTTGCTTAGTTTCCAGACATCCACCTGCATCTCTCCACTACCTTTTTTAGTCTCTCGTTATATTTTATGTTATCAATTTTAACTTTGATATCATAGGATAGAAAGTCTGAGAAGTTTCTGCTTTCCTTTCTCTTCCTGACTCTGCTCATCACTCGTTGACTGGGTGGGGCATGTGAGGCTAGTGTGACTTCTCATGGGACAGGAAATTGGAAAGGCACAGAAGAGAGTGTCTGAGGCAAAGGTTTGGGGGTAGTTACATGAGGAGCCTATTGCACAGGTCCTCTTTTTTTCCATTCTTATCCCCTTGAGTTTGCTTTGAAAGAAGACATCTCAAAGAATGCATCATCTCTTGACCAGAAAAAAGAAAAAGCCACTGGAAGAGACGTGACACACATTCAGTTTACCAGCTGGCCAGATCACGGGGTTCCTGAAGACCCCCACCTGCTCCTCAAACTTCGACGGAGGGTTAATGCTTTCAGCAATTTCTTCAGCGGCCCCATCGTGGTGCACTGCAGGTAAGGACTGGCAGGGCAGGAGCCCCTGTGGCTCTGTGCCACCCTTCTGTTGGGCAGCTAGGGACATGGATTGGCTAGTGCTGTTTTGCTGACAATCTACTAATATTCATTTCTTAAACAGCTGTTCTTGTAAACTGACATTTTATAATTGTGGGGACATAAAACTGATGTTATGATTTATGAAATAAATAGCAATTGTAAATATGTAAATAATTTTTAAGATGAAATTTGCCTTATTGCCTACCCTTGATGGCTGCTCCTCTTCCTCCTTGTGAACATGGGTTACATTTTTATTCCTTTTAAAAAATTTTGTGTGTGTGCGTGTGTGTGTGTGTGTGTGTATGTGGTGTTCAAATAGAGGGCAGCTTTATGGATGGAGTTCTCTCCTTCCACCTTGAAGTGGAATTCAAGGATCAAACTCATGTCAGTCTTGTCAGCTGGGCTCTTTCACTCACTGAGTCATCTGGTATACCTCTCACCTCACTTTTATATTTATTCCTTTAGTGCTGGTGTTGGGCGCACAGGAACCTACATTGGAATTGATGCCATGCTAGAAGGCTTGGAAGCAGAGGGCAAAGTGGATGTTTACGGCTATGTCGTCAAGCTAAGGCGACAGAGATGCCTCATGGTACAAGTGGAGGTAAAGTCAAACTTTTCATGAGTAGGTTTATTATTGTTTGATGACTAAATATTCAGGGATGAGGATTGGGGGTGTAAAAGAAATCCATATCATTATAACTTCAAACAGTGGAGAAAGAAGATATTTCAACTTCTGAGAACTAAAATGAGCTAATCACCACTAGAATCACTTTGTACTTGTGTTGAAACATACCATGCAAGCCATATAAGCTTTAGATATTCCCAAAACAGTGAAATCATTTACAGTCCTGAACATAATTTAAAAAAAAATAAAAGAGGAAACAGTGTTGGTAGCTTTTCATGACATTAAGCAGACAGAATAGTGTAGGGGCTTAGAGCATCTTTTGTTTTGTTTGTTTATCCCACACAGGATCTCATTATACAGCTACCTGACCTTGAATTTGTTTCAGAACTCCTGCCTCAGCCTCCCAAGTGCTAGGCTAAGAGTTAGGAACCACTACACCCTTCAAGAACCTGGCTCTTTGGACTAGAGTTCAGAAATTCAAATAGAGGCCCTGAATTGCTTATTTTATATACTATTGGATTTCTTTTATTCTTTCTATACATCAGATCAACTATCCATAAAATGGAAATAGTACTGAGATAAAGTCAGTAATTATCTAATGTAACAACTACAAAAAATGGGTAAAAGGAAAGTATAAGTTGAAGCACTTAGACATATTGCGTGCATGAGACATGACATTTGCTAACTGGAAGTGATAGTTTTTATTGCAAATGTCTGTGTGGCAACAGTAGAAATTTGCCTGTGTAAATGGTCATAACCAGAAACAGGTGCAGGAATGATCCTTGGATTTAGCATAGTTAGAATAACAAAATATTGGAAATAATCTAAATACCTGTAGTGGGGAATGGAAAAATCACAGCCAATGACTTGTGGTGTTGGAGAGAACGATCCAGTGTGTATTTCTCAATGTGGTTGGATACAGAGATGGATACCACAGGGGAAGCAATATCAGTGAAGTACATGTATTTGTGTGTTTGTAAATAAAGAGTCAAGAGGGCAGATTTATAAAAATAAGTGATACCCAGAAAATAATCAGTCAAAAACATGTCAAACTAGAGATGGCAGATTAAAAAGGCTTATCAGAATTATATATTTTTCTTAAACAAAAACAAACAAACAAAAAAGGACTCAAATGAGATAACAAAAATGTTTAGACTTGCTAAATTTAAGTTTGACATACTAGATCTTAAGTAGTTTAATTTATTGAAGAGAAATGTTAACTTTGAATAATAAGTTCTATAGGATATCAACCTACTTTTCTGACTGAAAATTATTGTAATTTTGAATAATATTGTTTCAATCTCAATATTAATAACTGAATGAAGTAATAGACTATGAGTCAATAAAAATCTAGGCATAAAATGAAGGCCACATACAATTTATACTCTGTCAAAGTTTTTTTTCTGGAATTTTAGCTTTAAATGCCGTTTATTCATAGTCTAGAAAATTGTGAGAGTCAATTTCAAGACCATATGCTACAAATATCAATATTCTTTTATCACACCGCTTCCCAATGTGGAAATTCTGAAGAGGCTTCTATAGTACACGTTAATTATGTGTGTTGTTCTTTGCTTCTTGCAGGCACAGTACATCTTGATCCATCAGGCCTTGGTGGAATACAATCAGTTTGGAGAAACAGAAGTGAACTTGTCTGAGTTACATTCCTGTCTACAGAACATGAAGAAGAAAGATCCACCCAGTGACCCCTCTCCTCTGGAGGCTGAATTCCAGGTAGCAGTCGTCACAGCATGGTCAATGGTTATAAGTAGCTTCGTGGAATTCGCCTGTTCTTGAAGTCCTTGCTGGTTATTTGACTACAAACCAGTGAAGCACAAATGAGGAAGCTAAGACTCTGAGAGTTCTTTAAAAAAAAAAAAGTCTAAATTTATAACCAGTTATGTAAGAGGCTTGTTTAAACCCTGAAGGCTGAGTTTACAACTAACACTCTTGTTTCACTAAGCTTAGATGGAGAGTTTCAAAATATTCGTGACAGCCACAGAATGGCCTGCCACAGGCAATGTAAATACAACATCTTACCTTTAAAGACTACATCTGGTTTTGGTTTCGAAAGGAAATAATTAGAAGACTTTACAACTGATTAGGAAGTTGAGCAGGCTGGAGCAGGTAGACAGAACATAAAAGCTAAGTCTGTGTGTCTCCACTTCTTTATTAAGTGGTTTTCTGAAAGCTAACTGGACACATAGCTTGCTGTGATTTCAGTGTGTTGACATAGCTATTCTTAAGCATCTTCATCATCAAAAGTGGTGTGAATTTATCCCTTCCACCTGTAATTTCCAGTTTACTGAGACATTTACTTTCATAAGAGAAGGGATATGTTTTTATTGGATGCAGACCACATGACCATTTGGATGAAAATGGGGCTGAGCTTGGAGGATGGGGCCAGCATCTAATGGTTCCAAGTTCTACCGTCTTCCCTATTCTGGGAAGTCACAGCACAAGACTGAACATCAGAGAGCTTTAGCATTATTTCCTTTCCTTTGAGCTGATTGACCACAAGCCCACAAAGGTACACATGAATACTTTTTGTCTGATAATGCTGGTATAGTCAAGGTAAACACTTGTATGCATATTCACTAAAAGAAAAAGGGATTCACTTTTTGCTGAACATGTATGATTCAATTTCTGCTGGGTACTATGGACATTTATAGGCACAAGAGTCAAAGTGCTTTGTAAGTGGATATGGGACAGGTCTGGAAGAGACCTGGAGACCTTACTCATTCCAAGCAGACAGAATCTAGAGACTGGAGAATTACTCCACCCAAACAGACAGAATGTAGAGGCTGGAGACAACCAAGCAGAAGACAGTGAGGACAGAGATGCAGAGTGGCTGGTAAATGTGGTGATGCGGTGTCAAAAAGTGGAAGTAAATAGTCTATAAGTATACTTTATTTGGTAATATATTGAAAATGTTTAGTTGACACATAATTATACATGTTTGTGGGGAATAGTAGGATGTTCCAAAATATGTCTACTATACAGGATAATCATATCAAACTGAATGATGTTACATTACTTCATCCCCAATTGCCTTTAATTTATGGAGGAATTATAAATCAAAATCATCAGTGGAGAATTGAGGGAAATCAGGGGAAGAAAGGCAAAATAGATCTTAATACTTGGGGAGGAAGAAAGAATAAAAAATAGTTATTTCAAAGATAATAAAATTGTCAGAAGTTATTGTGTGATCATCTGATGTTTATGGCCATGAATTGAAAGAGAATCATTCCATGATTTTGATTGAGTTCTCTGGGGATAGAGGCTGTGTAAACCCATGTAGATCTGAAAAATGGTTATGTAAAAGTAAAACAGATCTTTGTAAATGAATGTTTATAGTAGTGGATGATGACATATGAAGAGGTCACGTGTAAACAAGAAGGAAAGTGATAAGAACAGTATATGGGAGACTTTGGAAAAAACCCACAAATGTCTAGGAGGAAGTTGCTAGAATAAATGACTAGGAAGAAGAGTAATTTTCAATAACATGAATGGTTCGAGTCATAGTTTAGACATGATGTAATGTTTGTGACCAAATAGACAAAGATGCAGTGGTGAAACTGGATGGGTGAGAAGTAGAAAGATGAATTCCAGGGGTGAGAATAAAGCATCAAGCTACAGCAAGACTTTCATCTTGCTTACAGCAACACTATTTCATCAATGTTGGTTTGAGCAAGGAGATAATCATTTTGTAGAAGAGAGTCCATTACTCACCAGGTCAAAAAATAATGAGGTGGGATGATCTTGAAATTAGTAGCTGATGTCTCTGAGTGAATGATGGTGAATAGTGAGTACTATAATACAAGGGAAAGACAGAAAGTTAGATTATTTGGATTTTGTGAGAATGAAATTCATATAAATAGAAGCAAGAAGCAAAGAGAATATACAATTGTTATTCAAAATATGAGGCAAAGAAATGAAAGATTAACCATGATTCAGTTTCTTGGTGGTATCAAGTGATATCTCCTAAAATGGAAAGGAAAAAAAAAACTGTTGGGAGAAGGGGATCAGGATACATTCTCACTGAAGACAGATCTTGTACATCAGAATGTTGAGAGAAAGGGATTTGCAGAGATACCACAGTGCCATTGGCTTTTCTTGTGGAAACACGAACAGACTTCTGTTCACCCCAGATAGGACACCCAACAAGAAACCCAAGTCACCATTCTATCAGAGTTCAATCCAAGGAACTAGTACGTCTACTGGGCTTACTTGCAGAGCACAAGTAAAGGGATAAATAGTATAGATGTCTCCAACTAAATGAATCAGTGCAAAACCCTCCACCATCTTAGATAATGACCTCAAGGAAGCTGCATCATGGAGCCCCATTTCAAATAATCTTCCATGTCCTATATACTCTAACTTTATCCAAGATCACATGCAGTAGAGCCTGGGACCCTGCCCTTATTTATTCCACTATGAAGTGTCAGTGGCCTCTTCATCAGTAGCCTCTTCACCTAGCTAGTACTATACTGCCTGTATTCTCAGCTTCACTGAGAGACTTGGGTTTGTGGGCACTTGAAAGAATCAGGGATTGATTCTTCCAAACCTCACTATTGGAAGATGATCCATCAGTTCCTCTTAGAAAACGAGGTTTTTACTACTCTAGGAGCGTGGCTGTTGAGTAGCACTCACAATACGATATGGTGTTTTCAACATAACTGGTTTTCTATGTTACATTTTTTCTTGCTGTGACCACGTACCAATAAAAACGACCACTTAGAGTTAGACAAAGCAGGAGAGAGGAAAGGAGGAAAGGTTTAATTTGGCTCATGGTTTGATGGCTTAGTCCTTTATGGAGGAGAAAGCATAATAGAAGAGGTTGTTCTCAGGCTTCGATCACAGGCCCTCTAGCCACTGCCCTGCTTGGCAAATGGCACACATATCAGGAGTCTTCAATATACTGAAGTACTCACTGCAACTTAGGTTGCACCCTTGCAGGTCCACACCCAGATCATTCCAGAGTTCCATGTAGGGCATCTAACCTGGGTACACATTGAATGGCTTCAGTGGCTTTTGGAACCTTACTGAAAAATTCTTTAACATCCACACCCTTGCATCTATCATGCCTGAAAAACTAGTGTCACAAGGACAATGTCAGGTCCTTTGACCAGCTGGAGATATAGCCTGAACCTCTTAGATAACAGCCATAACTGTCTCTATATGACTCCATGGCTGAGATTAGGAAAATACTCCTCTAGATAGCATAGCTGAGATACACTGCTATGAAGGCTCTCTTTGTGTAAGCATCTCTTTTCAAATGACAATTTTTCAAATGAGTTTGAATTGTTCTATCTTTGCTTTGTCTCCAAATGGATATGGTATCCTTTGGTTACCTTTCTTTTTGACCCATACCTGTTCATATAAAATAATTTGCTATTGCATGATGGATATTAATGAAAATCTGTATTTTGTGGTTTTGTCTGATGAAAGAACAAGCTATACTACCTTGTGTTGAGGCATCTCTTAACTAAGAAGCAGATTCTATTGGGTACAAATGTCACTTTTCAGTCCCACTTCAACATGTCAAAGCTATTAAATATGTGAACAATACAAAGGAAAGTTCAGTGTCAAATTTAAAAACTTTCACTCATGGGGAGTTACATACATTTCATAGTCATTGATGAAGTTCTCATCTTTGAGTGATATCTAGGCTACAATAATTATGAAAATATTTAAGTTTTAAAGGAGGATTGTTCTTTGTTTTTCTTAGAGACTTCCTTCATACAGAAGCTGGAGGACACAGCACATTGGAAATCAAGACGAAAATAAAAAGAAAAACAGGAATTCTAATGTTGTTCCATGTATGTAATTTACTTTTATATCTTGCATCAGATAAAGTTAAGCCATGTTTGGACTTATTTAGTGTACAGCATACACTTGATTGAAGATCAATAAGAGATTTGTGGGCTATCTAAAATTTAGTTTTAGCAGATTATTTGGATCCCCGTATTTTCAATGAACATCAGAAGACAGACAGTATGAAGTGTGTTTTCTACCCCTAACAGCTCCCCCCAACTTGATAAAAAATAAAACAGAAATAGGTTGGTTCTACAAATATGAAGGCTCTGAGCAGGGACAAAAAAAAAGTATTACTCTCCTTTGTTCATTTTATTTTATCTTTAGTATATGTCAAGGTAATCACCAAACAGCAGAGATTTTTAACAGTCATCTGTTTTCTTTACCACTGATATCTGAGAGATTGATAAATGGTGGAAATGTTCAATAAACCATCAATCGCTAAATTTCCCACATTGAACTAGAAACAATTTTTAAGCTTTAATTCTATTTAAGCTTGTTGACGAGATCACACCTGGTGCTGCTTTAGCTGCAGCCAGCTGTCTATACCAAAATTAGCAAAGGTGAAATATAAGCCAAGCTAATAAACAAGACAACCAGATAAATCAAATCAACATATGGCTGACCTAGTTAATTTCTGTAGAAGTCCTTGTTAATACAGTTAAAATACAGAATCGATAATAATGTAGATAGATACATCAGCTGAATTTTTTTTACCAATTTAAAATATTGAGTAACAAGGGATGCTTTAGTACTAAATAAAACTAAATAGTAATTAATTTAAAATGTACTTAGGAGACATTGTTATTTAATGTTAATTAAATGATATTGAAAACAAAAGTCTAAGATATTACGTTTTAAGTTATAGTAACCAGAACAGTGATAGTCCACACACAACGAAAGTGTGCATATCAAACCCTGAACAATCAATTGGAGAATAATGATGCCACTTCTTATGCCTATAGCACAATTAAGAAAAACCCAGAGATGGAAACTGGGGTTCAACCTGAAGGTCAGAAAAGCAAAACAGCCAGCCACCAGCTTTTACTTCTACCTCAGTCCTAGAATGAGGCTGTGTGTGAGAGATGCTGCCTCCTCCTGTTTTATATTTTTATCTAGTTCTGGGATTAAAGGCGTGCACCACTACTACCTGATTTCTGTGGCAAACTAGTATGGCTACTGGGATTAAACGTGTGTATCATCACTGCCTGGTCCGTAAGGCTGACCAGTGCGGCTGTTTTACTCTCTGAACTTCAGGCAAGCTTTATTTATTAAAATACAAATGAAATATCACTATATATGACCTGTGCTTTTATTACTGAACTCTTTTGGGGGTACTTTCTTCATTTTTAGACTTCTGAAACTAAATTTAAATTATTAAGTATTGAATAATTTAATGATTAGACTCTTACTGACATTAAACCAGTACAATTAATTCTGCATTTCCTTTTCATTTCTACGAGTCTGTCAGTCAGAAATTTGATTCCTTTTCATTTGAGTTTTTCATTGAGCCCCGGATTGTGTTCATGTTGAGAGCATTCTCCTTAGGTGATCTTTGTCCTCATTCCCGCCTACTTTTCTGGGAAGACTTGCTACCGTTTGTTTTTCCATAGATGACTTTAACAGAGTACCATTGAAGCACGAGCTGGAGATGAGCAAAGAGAGCGAGCCTGAGTCTGAGGAGTCTTCTGATGATGACAGTGACTCAGAGGAAACCAGCAAGTACATCAATGCATCCTTTGTAATGGTGAGTACCTACACTCCAGCAAATACATCACTGCATCCTTTGTAATGGTGGGTACCTGCACTTCCAGACCAGGATCTAACCCTTTGAGATCATGTCTGTCGTTAGGGCCATTTCTTAGGCAGTATTATACACAGCTGATGAGCTCAGTGATAACCATGTATTCAAGAGTTACAAAACTTTCACCTGGTGATACCATTTTAAACATATCAAACGAAACAAAAAAAGTTCAAATTTTATCAGTTGATTCGGGATGAGAAAATGCTATTGCTTATTTTATATCAAACATAATGGCATGCTAGTTTTAAAAATAAAATTAGAATAAATGTAACTATTAGAAGGCATTAGCTATTCAAATCAGCAAAACAAATTTGTAGAACGATACAGTGATAACTAGCATTAGTTATTTATTATTGTAAGGCCCACCCCAGCACTGAGCTTATTAGTCTTGATAGTTACATGCCAGCATTTTGAAAGTCTCTCTGATGGCTTTATATCATACACCTTTTTGGAAAACAACAGCTAAACCAAAAAAACTAAATAAGGGATCCAGTAAAGACGTAAGTATTCAGTTGGATTTATTTCTTCTCTAGATCTTCCTGCAGCTCACACTTTCATGAGTATTAAGTTAATTATGCTATGTTATATCACATCATGCTATGTCACAAGTTAAGTAGATGAATGATAGAATAATTTTAAAAGCTTATGTTAATTCATCTTTATAATTAAATGACTAATGGAGAAAAATTTTTCAAAGAAAAATTATTTTTAGCATTGCATATTGTAACTGTAATTTCATATTATTAGCTGTTTTATGAAAAGATGCTGCATTTTTTCCTGGACTTGAGAATCATAACTTTCTATAAATGGCAATGATACCAAATCAGCTATTTTTCAAAATTTGATATCATTTGCTTTACAAGTCTGTTTTTGATGGCAGCACTAACCAATTCCCACCTTTGTGATTTTTAGAGTTACTGGAAACCAGAGCTGATGATCGCCACTCAGGGGCCACTGAAAGAGACTGTTGGTGACTTCTGGCAGATGGTATTCCAAAGGAAGGTCAAGGTCATTGTGATGTTGACAGAGTTAACAAATGGAGGCCAGGTTTGTACTTTGGGGAACACCATGTTAGAAAACCCTAGACCATGTCACATCATTCTCCATTCTCGGATTCCTTGTTTATTGCTGTGTTCTCTATGTTTTGATTCCTCTGTGACACAGTACAATGCACTACTGTTCCTGGGCCTACTGTCAGGTTGGCTCCATTATCTCACATGTGGGTTCTGACATTTTCTCAATCTCTAGTTGTGGGGAGGAGAGAATCTACGTGGTGTAAGGTTTTACCTTTGTATATTTGTCCTATATTTATATGGTAAAATCCACCCTCTTCTCCTGACAAGTGCATTTATGTGCAGAGCTTTTACTATCTGGCATTCTTAATATGCAAACATCCTTTGTTCCTAAATGATGCTCCTTTGCGCTTCCTAACCCCATTCTTCTAGAAAGACAAAACCTTTTGAAATCTTCAGCTATATCCTTCCTTCTTTATTTCTACATGATATTGTTGCCATAAAGTTATGCAATTGGGGGTAAACACACCATCTACTTTTGCATTTTACTTAAACCGTGTGACATATGTTTGGTATTTTCTTAGAACCTAGAGACACCAATAAAATTCCCCAGTTGTAGATCATGTGATAGAATTTTAGTTCTGACATGTGGCAAGACTTATTTAGTAAAACCCTTATAAGCAGGTACCACGACTCATTGCTGTCTCTGCCTTCATTTCCCCATTTTCTTTTACTTCTCTCGTCTACAGATCCTTTCTGGTCAGTCCCCTTTTCTCTGTCTTCTCTGTCCCCGACTTTCATCCCTCACTCTCTCCATTTCTCTCCAACTCCCGCTCCCTCCCTCTACCTTTGTCTTCTGTCAGTGGCCCTGTGCATCGTCAGCAGTTATGGGATGGTAGTATGCAGAGACCTGTGGTTCTTTGTTCTCCAGTAGGATCCTTTATTTACTTAGGTGTTGCCTCAATGTAGCTTCTCGTAGAGTTGGTCATCAAGATTCTGGGTGAAGTCTTTGAGCAACACAAACTCTGTTCTCAAAGACCAGTGGAGAAGAGTGGGGCCCAAGTTGTTGGAAGGGTCCAGCTGATGTCAGGTCATTCTATAACATTTTGAAGAGGTTAGATAATTGGGCTTTAAAATATGGGACAAATCCCAAAATCCTCTTCCAGAGACAATAAAGCTACCCTTTGATTACCTTAATCATTCCCAACCAAATACTGTTCGGTGAAAAGATCTTCACTGGACTTAAAGTAGGTTTTAGATTCTTATAAAGGTTTCAATTTTAGAAAGCATTCATTTCCATTTAATAAGAAAAGAGGTAAGAAGAGAGAAGGGGTTCTGGATGCCTTAGAGAGAAAACCCAAGATCTGCGAAGAACCTGGTAAGTCATGTTCTGTTTTTATCCAGGAAGTCTGTGCTCAGTACTGGGGAGAAGGAAAGCAGACATATGGAGACATGGAAGTGGTGATCAAAGACACCAGCAAATCCTCAGGCTACACTCTCCGCATGTTCGAACTGAGACATTCTAAGGTCCGTAAATACTTTTGAACATATTTACTTATGATGTAATTAGTCTGATGGCAAGCTTAATATTTGATGCCATCAGGACCACTGCCTATATAATGGTTCTGAATAAAAGCTGCAAGTTATCTGAATGAAAGCAACTGTGAAAAAAATGCAACCGTCAAAGGATAAACTGGACTGAACTTCCTTTGCATTAATGTTCCCTTCACCGATGATTGCAGAGGAAGGAGCCCAGAACGGTGTACCAGTACCAGTGCACCACATGGAGTGGGGAAGAGCTTCCTTCAGAACCTAAAGAACTGGTGTCTATGATTCAGAACCTCAAGCAGAAGCTTCCCAAGAGTTGCCCTGAAGGGATGAAGTATCACAAGCACGCACCAATCCTAGTCCACTGCAGGTAGGAGGGCTGACAGGATGTACTCTATAGTTGGCAGGCTTCTTTATTTCTATTGAATTCTATTCTCCTGATACGCAAACTGTGTGACTGGTGACAATCCCCACGAAGCAATCCCCCCTTGTGTCAATCACCTGCATTACACCTACAATAATACTATAAATAATGAAGGTTGTAAAAGCAGTTACTCTAGACTTGTAGCTGTTTAATATCATTTCATATAATCTTTGATTCTCCACTGCTGAGCCTTAGACCACGAATGTTATATGTGGCAAATGAACAGGTGAATGAGAGAGAAATGCAGGAATGGATTGGATAGACTCAGGTGAACTGTGTCAGTCTACTGGGTACTATTGAGAGCTGCATGATTTGTTTCCAGTAAGTGTAAACAGACATTTCCTGTCCTAACTGCCCAGTCCCAGATAACTCAGAGGCTGAATATGAATTATAAATGCTCAGCCAATAGCTCAGGCTTGATACTAGCTACCTCTTATACTTACATTAGCCCATATTTTTATTCATGCCTTGCCACGTGACTCTTGGCTTGGTACCTCATTTGTTACACATCCTGCTTGCTGAGCAGTTGGCTGGCATCTCCCTCAACCCTGCCCTCCCTTTTCCCATCATTCTCAGTTTGAATGATGGGAACTTTCTATCCAGCTACCAACCTGTCAGCTTTTTATTAACCAATGAGAGTGATATATCTCTACAGTGTACAGAAGCAGTATTCCACAGCAAGAAAATATACTTTAAGCTATTAACTTTAAAGTTTGACAAAATTGTGTGTGTGTGTGTGTGTGTGTGTGTGTGTGTGCGTGTGTGTGTGTGTGTAGCCCATGTCATGTATGATGGGGTCAGAGAACAGCTGTCAGAACCACTTTTCTTCTGTTACTTTGTGGGATTTAATAATCAGCTCACGTGACCAGAACTGAGTACAAGCACCTCTATCTACTTAGCCTTCCCACTTTAATGCCCCTAATTTGAACACAAACTGAAGTTTCAGTCTCGGCACCTTGACGTTAAACCCATTTCTGCCATGCTCCTCAAGAGCGCTCATAGAGATAATATTTAATCTCAATGGTTCTTTCTATGCAGACACTTAGTGTCTTCCGTAGCAGAGAGCTAACTAACCTCCTCAAGACATATAGAAAAAGATACATAATATGAAAACTTTGTAGAAAATATTAAAATACATGATAAATTAAAAGCAATCCTAATATAAGATTAATGCTGTAAATCTGACAAAATCCTTTTACAAGCTGTGTATGTCCTCTTTATTGGCATCCCAGATGCAGGAACAAAGCCCTCATTCGTATACCTTTTTCGGGATTATTTGCCATTTTAAAGTGAAATTATGTGAAAACAAAACTGAAGGACAGAAGTTGAGGCTTCAGTGTATTGGTTAGGGTACCACTGTACGTTTCTTAGTGAGGGCTGACCAGAATACGTGCTGATGGCTTGAGGTCTGAGATGAAACTGTGTTGCGTTGTCTACCCTTATTCATTCTTCCTCCCGTGGTTGGTAGATTATTCAGATGCCCGTGTTTTAGTGAGTAATTCTGTCAAGCATTGTTTCCCCACTGGTGCAGAAGTGAAACACTGTTAGAAGTGGTAGACAGAGAATCTGAGAAGGGAGGCAATGCGGGGCTAGGACTTGGGCTTCATCAGCTTCAGAACGTGCTTCTATGCTTCTTAAATCTTGGCTTCTTCTCTTATCAAATTGACTTTCTCATATTAGTTCTAACAACCCAAGACATTACTAAAAGTGGGTTTAAAGATACAAATCACTGAACAGAAGAAAGTATATTTTTAATGTCAAATTTATGTCTCATGAAATGACAGAATCAGCAATGTCACAGTCATGTAGTAGATAAGTCTGCCCTCAAATACCTACCTAACTTCCTATCCAGCTACCAACCTGTCAGCTTTTTATTAACCAATGAGAGTGGTACATCTCTACAGTTTACAGAAGCAATATTCCACAGCAAGAAAACATACTTTAAGCTATTAACTTTAAAATTTGACAAAATTCTGTGTGTGTGTGTGTGTGTGTGTGTGTGTGTGTAGCCCATGTCATGTATGAAGGGGTCAGAGAACAAATGCATACATAGAAACTAATTTGGTCCTTAAAAAATTAGAGAAAGATGCCTTTAGTAGATGTGAAATAAAAACATTCCCATCTCTCAGGGTGTATGTTAATAGCATTTTTTTTAAAATGTTGAATTATTTAATTTTTTACTTAAAAAAAATATCTCTTGTTCTTTTGGCAGAGATGGATCCCAGCAGACGGGGTTGTTTTGTGCTTTGTTCAATCTCTTGGAAAGTGCAGAAACAGAAGAAGTGGTTGATGTTTTCCAAGTGGTAAAATCTCTTCGCAAAGCGCGGCCAGGGATGGTGGGCACCTATGTAAGTATCCAGTGATGTCGCTTTCAAGTCCTCTGTGTTTCCCTGTGGGCGCTTTGCCTTCTCCTCTCCTCTATTCACATTTTCATCACTTCCATTTGCTTCTTCGTTTTGTTCTATTTTCCCATTTATTTTTACATTCTAAACCACAATGGAGGACAATTAATATAAGTAAGACCTTTTAGAGTTTGTTAGCCATTTGTTGTGACTGGTTATTTAGTTACACCGTTAAATAACCACTCAGTGTTTATTTTTCCTTCCTTTAGTCATTTACCAACTAGTCTTGTATAACAAACCAACCCCAAATTTAGACTTCAATAACATCACGGCGTTTTAGAGATAGTCTATTGATCTGCTGAGTTCCCCAGGGTTAGCCAATGAGACCCAGGTTCATGTCTGCTGTCAGCTGATGTATCCACTTAGATCTTGTTGACCTAAAATAATTTCTGCCGCCAGTAAATTGTCAAGTGCCTGCATTTACCTTTGACAGCAGGAATGAGTAACCAGTTGCTACATGCAGAAGGCTAACTCAAGCTTACAAAATGGCAGAACATTAAGAGCATAAGCAGAAAGGGGTGGCGCCACCTCTTGAAGTCTAGGCCTAGAGCTGTCACGATATGGCTTCCAACTAACACAATCCTGAGGTCGGCCCAGAATTAAGAGGCATGCAATTTGTACTAGGAAAAGTGTATACAATGGGAAACAATATGTGTTACATGTATGCAAACAGCGTATCCTCTGGCTGTAATGGTAACCAGAATTGAACATAGCAATTCAGTAACTATTCTCAATATAATTTCTCACTTAAATATACAAAGTTTTCATGTACATTGAGTTTACACATATAGATTTTAAAAAGCATTTCAGTACCTGAGAAGTATATTAGGTGTAAAGAAACTCAAAGGCAGGTAACATTAAATACTTAAATAATTATATTGACATAGAAAGTATACGAAGGTGAAAAGGGGAACTTTGTGGGGATTTGAGCAAGTGTCTTGAATGAAGCGATTCCTATTAGAATTCATAAATGACGGGGGCACATTAGCTAGGAGCATGGGCATGAAAACAACATCATAGCAGAGGCCAGGGCTCAGTCATTCCCTGAGGTGTAGTGGGGAGAGCCTCTCATTTGGTGTTTTTCACCAGGTACCCACCCCTCCTCTGATTCCACAGAGTGGGAAGTCAGATAGCAAGCTCCTGGTAAAAACACAGCCGAAAATTTCCTGTCATCTAGACTTTTTAGAGGAGATAGTTAGTACTTGCATGTTTCTTCCGGACATAAGAACATTTTTGATGCTTTCTTTCATCAGGACCAATACCGGTTTCTCTATGATGTCATCGCCAGCACCTATCCTGCCCAGAATGGACAAGTGAAGAAAACCAGCAGCCAAGACAAAATTGAATTTCATAATGAAGTGGGTGAAGTCAAGCAGGATGCTAACTGTGTCCATCCTGGTGGTGCTCTGAATAAAACCCAGGAAGACAGCAGAGCTGTGGGAGCTTCTGAGCCCGCCAACAGTACTGAGGAGCCGGAACATTCTGCCAACGGTCCTGCGAGCCCAACTCTAACTTCGTAGGAAAGGGCTCAAATTGGACAACTCAATCTCAAATTAGTTGTTTCCATTTTTCTAGAATGAGTGAAAGAAAGTAGCTGAGCAGTGGTTCGTGGAATCTGTGTCCAACCTTGCCACTGTAGAAAAATATTTAAGCTTTGTCAAAATGTTTTGTACAGTTTTTATGCTTATTTTAAAGATGTATCTATCATTTAGCAAGAATGTGTGTATGTGTGAGTGTGTGTGTGAATATGAGTGAGTGTATCTGTGTGTTTGTGAGTGAGTGTGTATGGTGTGGGTATGTGTGAGAGGGTATGTGTGTGTGCATGTGTAAGTGTAAGTGACTGTGTGACAGCTACATGACATTAGAGAGAGTGTGTGCTTTCAAGCCATTCTAAACGCTCGTGAGAAACATTGCCATTTTCCCTTAAAGAAACTATACATTTATATCTAGACTATTAATTTGCTTGAAGGATCCATTTTTTTAAGACACCAAGAGAGTGGGTTGTTGGTACTATAAGAATACCAATGTGTGCATTTCTGAAATGACCTCAAGATGTCCTCCTTGTTCTGTTGATGCTGTTGTAGTTTAGAATGCTATTTCCGGAGATATGGAAGAGTCCATAAGAGTGCTGTGGGTGTGTATAGCTGCTGCAGGAAAGTTAACTAAATTAACATTTGAGAATTCATGCTCCACATACTGTCATTTCACCACTATCTGTTAAAGAATATTCAATCAAACATAAAAATCTCAAGAAAGCCTAATATTGTATACATGTAGGAAATAGAACTTTGCAAATGGGCTGTTGCCTGCAAAACAAATGAAAATTATTACTTGATGCTCTTGATCATATGTATACAGGTTATGACTGAACCTAAATAGTTGTCTTGAAACAAATACAGTGTATGTTTTAAAACACATAAAATAAAAACAGGAGCATGAAAACTTGTTTGCACTGGTCATTTACTTATCAGACCTCATACAGGTATCTCATGGAATTCAGTATTCCTGAGAAACAAGATAGAATGTGCCTATTTCCCATGTTTAAGGCCATCTTTGACTTTCATTAAAGCGCACCTATTTTGAATTTTGTAAATGTTTAGTTTACTCTTACCAAGAAATAATATTGATAACCATAGTAAAATTTCAACTATTACCTTCCTTGTTTATATGAAGTTTGTTGCATGTTCATCTGTGAAATATGTATGTGCCTATTAAAATTTGTTTAATGCAATCAAAACACAACTTTCAAAATACTTTCTCTGGTCCCAATTCTTTAAAAAATATCTGAAGTTTGCTTTATGTTAATTCTATAGGTTCTAATATCTAAAATCTCTTCAATAATAATTTTCTCATGCATAATGGAAACAGCCCCATTGTTGACTCTTGTACCAACTGAATACATCAAGTGTCACTGCCTTTAATTTGGTTTTCTGCTCCTGGCATCCCTTGTCTGGTTCTTCAAAGTAGCTTAAATACACACCATCCGTGTGTGTACAGCTAGTTTTATTTTGCGTTCAAATTATTTCTTTAATGAATCCCACAAAACTAGCCCTTAATCTGTATACTTATGTTTAAACAGGAGAAGCCCCCTTGTTCCTCTTTACAGATGGGAAAAAGGGCAAAATTGACAGTGAAACTGTTTCTTCAAAATGAGATAAGTTTTGTTCATTGATGAGAAAAACAAAGAATGATCAATTTCAAGCATCAGAAGATAAAGTAGGCTTCGGGTCCTCTATCTAGTCCTTCAGACTTTCGTACCTCAGTCTCCTCTGTGGACGTTTCTGTGCTTTTCACTGGCCAATATCATGGAATTAGGCAGTTCTGATGCTGGAGAATGTTCAGGGACGTGAGGAGGCGGGTGTCTGTGCTGACCTGTGAGTGGCATCAGAATACAAAGAGCATCTACATCTTCAATGATATCTACTGGAGCATAGTTCTGCTACTGTTTACTTAATAATCCATTTGCAACTGCATCCAAACCTGTGGTACTTTGAACTCTATGAAAACAGTGGGGGAAGGCTGATCTAAATTTTGCACAAGTGTTTGTGTTAGGCTTTCTACCGAGAATATGCAGGATTCATAAAAATGTGAAGCTCTGCAACTTACAAAATGTTTTTTTACGACTTCATCAAAGTATAAAATTATTTAAAAAATTAGTTATAAGTAGGTGTGTTTCTTCAGAGACTTCAACTGCAGCAACAGCCACCAGATGTGGATATTGTGCTTAAAATGCACACTTCTTCTTGAAGCTATTCTTTGGAATACACAAAATAAATACTTAGAAAATAGAGTCATAGCAGCTTATATTAATGTAAAAAGGCAGCTATGAGCAATTTTCTTTGTAGTTGGGATGGTGTGATCACAGAAGTGGCAAATAGTAGCTCAGAGGTTGGTTGTTCTATGAGAATGTATATCAAGTGAAAGAAGAAACCCATGGACTTGAGTGTGGAAGTCTAAGTCTGATATTTAGGCTGAAAAAAGAAATTTATGTGGGCAGCAAAGTCGTGTCTTCGGCCATGGCTTATGTTCATAGGGAACATGAAAATGGCTTTCCTGAAGCTAATCCTCACTATACTAATGCTAAGACCTTCAAAGTAAAAAACAAAAACAAGAACAGCAAAAGACCAAGTAAAAAGTTCTTACTTAAAAAAAAAAAAGAAAGAAAGAAAAACCTCTAGTTCATTTTAGGGCTATAATATTGAGAGTCCTGTTACAGTAATTTTCTTAGCAGGAGAATGTTTTTTCTTCACTGTTTATTTCTGGTGTCAGAATTCTTTGGGACTAAATGACTCATTCAGTAACCTTAAAATCCAGCACTACATAGTGTTATATATAAATTCCACGTAAGTGGCTGTAGAAAGGAGATATACATTCTAATATATTCTCAAAAAGTTAAACTATGATAAGTCATTAACCAGAAAATGTCTTTGCAATATAATTTCAAAAAAAAATGTAAGCTTCTTTGGTTAAGAAAATGGCTCAGTAGTTAGAGTGCTTGCCCACAAGTTTAAAGATTATATAGTTCATATCCTAAGCACACATGCTGAAAACCTAGTGGGTAAGTGATAGCATGCCCAGGGCTAGAGGTTATAGAGAGGTGGATCCCAGGAACCAGAGGGCCAGTCAGTCTAGCCAAAATGACAGAGACTGATTCAAAATGGTAAAGTAGAGCAGCAACTAAGAAAGATAGTCCTTTTACCAACCTCTGATCACAACATGTGTCCTTATAAATGAGTGCATTCTTCTTCCATGCATGTACACACACACACACACACACACACACACACACACACCCAAACCCATCACATACCACAAGAAAATGCTCAAGCTTATGGTTGTAACTATAACTAACACACACATAACTGGCAAAGTTTTTGTATTCATTTCCCCCATTCCCTTTATAACATTGAATTTTTTATTGTGTCTGAGAGTTAACTAAAATAGATCTGAATTTTAATTATTTTATTCATCATAGAAATTTGTTACAAAATGGAACATTGTATCATGATACTCTAAATATGCAAGTGGTCATTTTCCCACTCTGAAGTCACTGAAACAGGCACCTTCGACAGATGTAAACATCAGTGACAACTAGTCTCAGGTTGTACCTTTCTTTCTCTTATACTTAATTTACGGCTGGAATGATTTGCTTGATCTGAGATTTTCTTCAAAGAGAAACATGCATATTTGGGCTATTTAATTTCCTGTTTTAAGAAGACATACACACACACACACACAAAATCTTAAGAATTTGACCTGAAAAAAATGCCTGTTTCACTTAAAAGCTGTACAATTAACTTTATAAAAAATTACATCTTTCATCTTCAAATATAATTCTTCTTGCTAAAAGTAATATCTTAAAATGAAGGCATTAGTTGAAAATAAAAAAATAACTTGCAGGGTCCAGTGGATGGGAGTGGGTATGGCTCTTCACTCTCTCCATATCTCTTTAACATAGTTCTTGAAATTCTGGCTATAGCAATAAGACAACAAAAGGAGGTCAAGGGGATTCAAATTGGAAAAAAAGAGGTCAAACTTTCAATATTTGCAGATGATATGATAGTATATACGAGTAACTCCAAATCTCTATCAGAGAACTCCTACAGGTGATAAATATCTTCAGTGATGTGGCAGGATACAAGAGCAATTCAAAAAATCAGTAGCCTTCCTATATACAAATGACAAAGAACTTGAGAAAGAAATCAGAGAAATATTACCTTTCACAATAGCCACAAATAACATAAAATATATTGAGGTAACACAAACCAAAGAAGTTAAAGACCTATTTGACAAGACAAGAACTTTAAGTCTTTGAAGAAAGAAAATGAAAAAGAAATTGAAGAAAATGGAAAGATCTCCCATGTTCTTGGATAGGTAGGATCAACATAGTAAAAATGGCAATCCTACCAAAAGCAATCTATAGATTCAATGCAATGCCCATCAAAATTCCAACACAATTCTTCACAGACCTTGAAAGAACAATAACCAGGTTCATTTGGAAATACACACACACACACACACACACACACACACACAGTATAACCAAAACAATCCTGTACAATAAAGGAACTTCTGAAGGTATAACCATCCCTGACATCAAGCTCTATTACAGAGCTACAGTAATGAAAACAGCTTGGCACTGACATAAAAACAGAGAGGTTGATCAATAAAATCAAATCAAAGACTTGAATATAAATTCATACACCTATGAACACCTGATTTTTGAAAAGAAGTTAAAATTATACAATGGAGAAAAAAAGAAAGCATCTTCAACAAATGGTGCTGGCATAATTAGATGTCAACTCGCAGAGACATGAAAATAGATCCATATCTATCCCCACACACAAAACTCAAATCCAAATGGATTAATGACCTCAATATAAATCTGACCACACTGAATCTGATAGAAGAGAAAAAGGGAAGTAGCCTTCAATGCATGGGCACAGTAAACCACTTCCTAAATATAACACTAGTAGCAGAGACACTGAGAGCAACAATAAATAAATGGGACCTCCTGAATCTGAGAAGCTTCAATAAAGCAAAGGACACAGTCAATAAGACAAAAAGGCAGCCTACTGAATGGGAGAAGATCTTCACCAACCTCATATCAGACAAAGGACTAATCTTCAAAATACATAAAGAGCTCAAGAAATTAGACATCAAAATTCTAAATAACTGAATTTAAAAAATGGGGTACAGAACTAAACAGAAATTCTCAACAGTAGATCTCAAATGACCAAAAAAAAACATACTTAAGGAAATGTTCAACATCCTTAGCCATCAGGAAAATGCAAATCAAAACAATTCTGAGATACTGTCTTATACCTGTCAGAATGGCTAAGATAAATCCATCAGTGATAGCTTATGCTGGAGAGTATGTGGATAAGGGGAACACTCTTGCATTCCTTGTAGAATACAAACTTGTTCAACCACTTTGGAAATCAGTATGGTGGTTTCTCAGAAAATTGAGAATCAACCTACCTCAGGATACAGCAATATCACTCTTGGGCACATACCCAAAAGATGCTCCGTCATACTACAAAAGCATTTGTTCAACTATGCTCATAGTAGCATTATTTGTAATATCCAGAACATGGAAACAACCTAGATGCCCCTCAATGGAAGAATGGATAAACAAAGTGTGGCACATTTACACATTAGAGTACTACTTAGCAGTAACAAACAATGACATCTTGAATTTTGCATGTAAATAAATGGAATTAGAAAACATTACCCTGAGTGAGGAAACTCAGACTCAAAAATATGAATCTGGTATTTTCTCACCCATAAGTGGATACTAACTATAAACAAAGGATATCAAGCCTATAGTTCATGATCCTAGGTATGTAATAAGGTGAACCCTCATTTAAGAGAGGCTCCCTGACTCAGCTTTAGTTGCAAAACCTTACACTTCTTTTAAGAGGTCCTGCTATGAAACACTTAAATGGTGTTGATGAAAAGCTGACTGCATGCCTTTTGGTGGTGGCAGGGAACTTGAAACCCCATAGAGTTGTAGTAATAAACAGTTCGACTGGTACCCCCTCCATGAGCCTGAAATCTCAGAAAGCTAAAATATGGGCTGGATCCAGCCATCAAAGCCACAGCTTTAATCCTCTCCATATTGATTAGCAAATTAAAGACTCATATAGTCATAAAAAGAGAAATACAGTAAAGATAGATTCAAAGACAAAGAAAACCTCTAAATGGTTTACAGTGTGTTTAAAAATATATGCAGGTTTGGGAGACAAAAAACAAAGGTTAAAGTCCTTAAAA